GTTGGCGTTCGTTCTGTTTTTCGGAGACTTTGTTGAGAGTATGTTCAATATTCTAAGAGTAACCCCCCTTTAATTTCATTTTTGGATATAATCACTGTGGTGCAATTTGACCGGTGTACTGCAGTCTGAACATTGGTTGCAAAACACAGCTGTCCGGTGAAGTCGGTGAAGGTCGCGTCATATACAGCCGGTCAGCGACTTTCCATCACGTCATGGCAACCAACTAAATATGCCAACTCATGTCAGGCCTATCGTATGATGTTGTATCACTGGCACTTTCAAGAAAATCCGCTTGATCTCGGTACGATGATGATGGTTTTAGAAGTAAACGCAATCTAGGAATCCAAAACCCTACGCACTGAGAAATGTTGGTGCGACATTGATCAAGTTAAAATGAGGCAACACGATCACGTGATAAATCTTGCATGCCCAAAAGAACAGCGTCTAATTTGCATATCGAATGATCTAGGTCATGTCGCCTTATAAGACAGCAAAACTTTACAATTAGTTACATTTGACGTGGTAGAATGAAAGTGGAAGCGGCCTTCGTTAATCCTTTAGCAACATTTTCTCAACCTCGTTATATATTCCACCATAATGCACGCACTTACGTTGATTGTTTCTGAAATTACTATGAGGATATTTCTTATGTGCATACATACTTGCATATTAGTTGAAATAGTTGAAGACAACCCAGACGTGTTACGTTTTTAACACATGTTATACATATAAACTACATTTGATTTATTTGATGCAAATATATGCATACTACATTATTCACTTTGTATCGTATATATACGTATTACACTTTATTGTTGTACAAACGTATAGTATTTTATTTGTGGTACAGGTGTATTACACTTTCACTTTATTTGTTGTACAAATGTATTACATTTTATTATTGTACAAACGTATAGTATATTATTTTTGTACAAACGCATAACACTTTCTTTGTTGTACAAACGTAATACACTTCACTGATTGTTAAAACGTATTAGACTTTATTTGTTGTACAAACGTATTACACTTTATTTGTTGTACAAATGTATTACACTTTATTTGATGTACAAACGTATTAGACTTTATTTGTGGAACAAACGAGATACACTTTATTTGTTGTACAAGCGTATAACACTTTATTTATTGTACAAACATATTACACTTTATTTGTGGAACAAACGAGATACACTTTATCTGTTGTACAAGCGTATAACACTTTATTTATTGTACAAACATATTACCCTTTATTTGTGGAACAAACGAGTTACTCTGTATTTGTTGTACAAGCGTATAACACTTTATTTATTGTACAAACATATTACACGTTATTTGTGGAACAAACGAGTACCCTTTATTTGTTGTACAAGCGTATAACACTTTATTTGTTGTACAAGCGTTTTACACTTTACTGATTGTTAAAACGTATTACGCTTTATTTGTTGTACAAACTATTACACTTTATTTGTTGTACAGATGCATTACACTTTATTTGTTGTACAAGCGTATAACACTTTATTTATTGTACGGACGTTTTACGCTTTATTTGTTGTACAGATACATTACACTTTTTTTGTTGTACAAGCGTATTACACTTTACTGATTGTTAAAACGTAGAACACTTTATTTGATTTAATACAAACGAATTACACTCTACTTGATGTTAATACCTACAATACTGCTGTTATTTGCATACATTAGATGAACATACAAGTTCAAGTTCGAATTTTATTTACTTGTCAAGCATATATAAATCCATTGCAGGAATATGCCATCATAACATTCATACAAATGAACAATCAAAATATATTTAAATATTATTATAATAATAAATAATAATATACAACAATTATATAGCGCCCTATATAATTTGTAAAATTACTCTAAAGCGCTTTACAACATATGGATAATAGCATAAGTTATAATTGTGAAACAAAAACAAAGGCTTACACTCACTTGTATACATTAAGCAAGCAGATAATCATCGCAATGTGCACATCAATGAATAAATAAAGGGTGGTATTTACATGACGTCTTTGCAAATAGTCCAAAATGCAGACGTGAAGAGGTTTTGATGTCCCTCCTTAATTTGGCCAGGGTATTTGACTTTCTAATAGCAGATGGTACATGTAAGCAAGTCAACAACATGGCCGTCAATGATCGTGACGGCTGATACAGGGTAACAAGCTCCTGTAGGTACTGAGGAGCTGTTCCATTCAGTGCCTTGTATGTGTACACCAAAATTTTGTACTGCGACCTGTATCGTTAAGATAACCAGTGCAATGAATATAGCACAGGTCCGAGTATGAGCTATAACCAGCCGTGCTGCAGTGTCCTGGACTCTCTGCAGACGACTAGCTAATTAGTCAGATAGACCACAGAGCAGGGCGTTACCATAACCCAACCAAGAGGTAACAAGTGAATTCAACAAAATTTTGCATACATCTGCAGTTATAAACTACCGGGTGCAACCGATGTTCCGATCTGGTAGTAACAGGATTTGGCAATAGTGTTTACTGGTTTCTCCATGTTTAGTGAACTATCAAATTATACCCCTTGGTTTTTAACAGCCTTAATAGTTCTGGTATCGACCTTGAGCTGGACAGCAATTGTTTGCTGACACTTTGGGGAAAAGACGATTAGTTCCGTCTTTTCCTGATTAAGCTTAAGCATGGTGGCGTTCATCCAGGTATTTATATTTGTCAGACAAGACTCATTATTTTCTGAAATAGTATCCCAACTGTCCTGTGGTTTGATAACCATGTACACTTATGTGGCATTAGCATATCAATGATAGCGAAGGCTATGACGACGACAAATCTCTCCGAACACCGACCCTTGAGGAGCCCCGAAATCTAGTACTTTGTCATGTGAGGTGGAAGATCCGATGGTAACACACTGTCGTCGTTCACTCAGGTATCAGTCACTCCATAAGAGTATTCCAGACGTTTATAAAGTATGCCATGGTCGATGACGTCAAATGCAGCTGACAAGTCCAGCATGACAAGCCTTACATATACTTCATTAATACAATGTAGAATATGTATGTACTCAATGAATATAACCAGAGACCTTGTTAAAATACAACTTCTGTACGTTGAATTGATAGTTTAGAGCTGTTACAATCAACAGTTTATATTTTAGACAGATTACCTAACGTCATTTAGATTTTCATATGTTTAATTAACATTAAAAGATAATATCTGAAAAATTTTCACACACCATTACGACATGGTCATCTAGACCCTCCTCGAATTTCTTCGGTTTTACTCTTAATTGCGTTCTCTGCATCTCTGGAATATGTATTGACAAAATCATTTATTTTATTGGTTTCCGGTTAATTAAAAAAAGGGAAGAAAATAGGGACTGACCAATGGCTATTCTTCTACCTGCTTGTTTTAAAAGATTACAGAGATACGACAGCACTTTGACAAGCCAGTCAATTTCACCGTTAAACTGCCGCGCGATTCTTTTAATGTACATCGTCCACCAGAAAGTGCTTATAGAAACTTTGATTTCGTCATGACATATTCCAGTGGTGCTGAGAAGATAACAGAGCGTGTCACCCTTATTAGTACTCCTACATTTAGGTGTTGTAACAAGCAGGAAAAGAACGCACATTGCATTGCTTCGGGTTTAGAGAATGCCAAATGATTCATCACACCAATAAAATGTTATTTGAAAACACTACATATATATGCTACACTCTCTGGTAGAAGTATTATATATGAATTGGTTATTAATAAAGTTAATTTTATTTTCTTCATTTATTTTATTATAGGTTTGCATAGCGGATAAATTGCATTTCGTATTACGTTAATTTAAATCTATGGATTGAAATACATTTCTAAAGGTAATTCTGAACAATACTAAGATCGCATTAAGGACGGGCTCGCCTAAAACAGTTTATCTCATAACGAGACACGCACGTAAACAAACACTGGACTACACCATACACAACTTCTGCAGTATTTACAGTGTTGTAAATTGATGCAATATTATCGTGTCGAAGGAAAAAAATGTTTAAGATTTTTTTATTTATTTTTTGTCTTTAAGAGGGTACTTTGTTTAAGGAAAGACAATAGTTTTTGACACTCATCTCATCCCCATATGCGTTATTCACATCTTATTATATCACGAAACTCGTCTTGACCACAACCGGCCCGCCGTGACACATTATATGCAACGCGAGTAATAAAAGCCAGCAGAAAATTTATGAATAATATTAATCTCTCAAGCCACTTCTATTTGACACGTTGTGTGCGTTAATGAGAGGGAGAGAGCCAGATGGTGTATTTGAACAGGAGAATATATATATATACCCGTGTAGGTCCCTTCCGACTATCTTCACTCGCACGTAAGTCGACACCATGGCAGTTTGGCTCCTAAGTCTTGTTTTCAGCGGTAAGAAACTATGAGATAGAGTTGCGTGTTATTACTAGTAATAACGATCTACATTGATAACGAACTTATCATATAACCATAAAATATGTTATCTACGTATTGCATGCAATAGTTCTGCATTTGTCTCGTTGGGTTAAAGTTAGTAAATCTATTGCTGAGGTATCATAGTCATGAATTCATATGTCGACGGATGGTAGATTTGTTACAATTGTGATATTATTGTTCATGTTGTTTACAGAAATGTAATTATTTATCGCAATGTTGCCTATCGGTACGGAATGTTTCTATGTCACGGATTTGTTTAAAGTTTTGAAAGGTTTAAGTCTGTCTGCATCATAAATATGGTGGCTTTAATTTTTTATCCCTGACTAATAATCTATAAAATACTGAATATAATAACTGAGAGTTTCACTGTTCTTAACACATATTGAATCCATAGCAATGAAGCCTGTCATTTAAATTGTTAGTACATCATTAACTAAAACTGGAATAAGCTTGTACATAAATGCACGAGAAACTAATACCTTTTTACGACTTCAATGTTTAGGTTGCCTAGCGTTGCCCGGGGTGCCAAGTCCCTACTAGAGGATTATCGCCCTTTGCATGTGGGTTGTTAGTGTTCCGGAATATCCGGGTATCGTTTTTCTTATTAGGAGTAAAGAATAACATCCGTGTTGAGTTTCAAGCTGTAGTCGGCACGTGGACTTGTTTTATCTAATGTTTACATCATAATACCTGATAGGTATGTTATCATCATTTTATTATGTGTCACTGTAAGCTTTAAGCGAACGCTTCAATTGTTTGTATCTCAATCGTTCGTATTAATAGTGTACAGTTCAATTGTCTGTCGATGTAAACACAATGTAATTGTACCCTTGTTTTATTTACAGATGACTGTGGTCATTTTTGTGAAATAAAACGTGACAAATAGAACTGGTTCTTATTTACCTACCATCCGGGACAGGACCTTTTAGACATTACCTTACAGACGCAGGTAAGTCTTTGTTAAGCAAAAGTCTTAATTTGGAAGATCGTGTCTAGGTAAAGTTGACTTCCCATTTTCATTTGTCATGCAGTTTGTTTGGAAATAATTCGCTTATCCCGTTACAATAAAATCATTTCTTCAACGAGTAGATTTAAACTTTCCCGGTAGGTCCCACTTACTCGTTTACTACACAACATGACCCATTGATTCAGAAAATTATTATACCTAAGACAGACTCTAAGACCGCGATCCTTAAACTTGGTAGAATGTAACATTTCTAAAAAAAGTTATAACAAATAATGATCATAAATTTAAGTTATCGTAGAGCTTTTTTGTGATATGATCAATGCTATCATAATGTACATGCATAAACATCAAGATATAAAACAGCACAAGAGAAGTCTATGCCATCTACAATTCAATTTGCTTGAAATTTCTTTGTATACGGTAAATTGCTCTCATATATGGTAAAGATTCATGTTTTGTGTATGAAATGAAAACAAAATTCATTCCTAGCTACTGTCGATATTTTAAGTGACATTTAATGCACAATTTGGGTTATTAGTATGATGAAGGTAATCCGAGCCAACTTGGAGGTTAAAACGTCAATTAAGTTTCAAGGGAAAACGGGAAATGTACCACATCGTCAATACACACGAATAAGAACCAGACAAAGTACAAAAGGACAACAACAGACCATCAAAACAAAGGGAAAGAAACAATAAATCCTGTGAGGAATGATGTCAAGTAAGTAAATAAAACATATTATAGATAAACACAGGCGAATCCAGGTCCTCCAAAAGGATAGGCGTTGCATGATTCCATCCAACATAACGTCTCCCCTCAAACCCAGTAAAGAAAAAAACGAGAGAGAGAGAGAGAGAGAGAGAGAGAGAGAGAGATTTTTTTTACTGAAACTAGCAAATAAATGACATGAACAAGACGAACAGATTAAATAATGAGGGTACACGTATGAGAAACATATCCGAGATCATATATATATATATACTGTTTATGCAGAGTTCATGGGTTAATGTGAAACAAAATCAAATGGAAATGCATTACACTCCCCCCCCCCCACACACACACACACACACCCCAAAAAACCCAATCCCTACACAATGTTTATATCTGTAACTAAAAATATTGTCTGAGAACGTTTAGTGTTTTATGACAGATTTATAATGTCAGTAAGTGTTTAATAAGTCGTAATATTTTTTATACCCAAACATAATCCTATAATTTGACATTTTTAACGAGAGGTTACCTAATGTTTGATATATCACTTGCACAGTGAACATACCAGTGCCAAAGTTGGAAGTTGTTGGAACTATTGTCTCACCTTTGTCTTTCTTTTGCAACACTTATCTGTATTCTCCCAAATTTGGGGAAACGAGAACACCCCTATGCAGTTCAGAATTCTTCACAGAGAGAAAGCAGAATCGTGGGAGGTGGAGACGCCCAAATCAATGACTTTCCGTGGCAGGCCTCGCTGGAGTCTTCCGGACAACACATCTGTGGTGCCATTATACTTAATGAGGACTTCGTTCTCACGGCAGCTCACTGCGTTGGAAATAGCGCAAGGTTTGTTTGTTTGTGTTTGTCTTAACACATGATACTGTCATATGACGAGGGTATTCACCGGCAATGGTGCCACCACTCAACAGTAAATTTATGGCATTCATGCATCCATGTATGACGTAATAGATAGCAATTTCATAAATATATTTCGTGTAGTAACCCATTCATCTCACAATCCGGTCATATTTGCTTGATACGGAGGAGGCTAGATTATCAAGACCCTCTGTTTACAGTGGGTCGTTATAGACAAGACTACTCCGTTGACAGTGGATCGTTATAGACAAGACTACTCCGTTTACAGTGGGTCGTTATAGACAAGACTACTCTGTTTACAGTGGGTCGTTATAGACAAGACTCCTCTGTTTAGGGTGGGTCGCCATAGACAAGACTACTCCGTTTACAGTGTGTCGTTATAGACAAGACTACTCCGTTTACAGAGGGTCGTAATAGACAAGACTCCTCTGTTGACAGTGGATCGTTATAGACAATAGGCATTTAACATTTTACTTTTAAATAATAGCATTTAAAACGACAATGTTCAATGAACACGAGGTATACTTGCTAGTGTGCTACCTCACACATTTTACCCGTGATTTTTTAGAGTTACCTCCCTTAAGTATGTATATCATCTCATCCATAGTACCCGTGATTTATGTAACAGTCCATAGTGCGTATTATGCCTGTGTTTTGTCTTAGAGATAAGTCTTTAAAGCATTAATTTAAATATTACTAGATTGTAATTGAAAAGTATCTTTTTACGCGTATTATCAAAGCATACATTGTAGTTTATCTATCAGTGAGTTCAGAAACTAAAATCGAAATGGAAAAGGTATTTGATTCTTCGATAAGTGCGACTATTTCTAAAACGGTGTGTTATGATAGGTTAGCATACAGCCTTAACTTTACATATCAAAGTTTTACTTTCTACACAAACTATGTACGTATTAAACGTAGCGCAACGTTTCAAGACCAACTGGTCCCTTTGTTAAGCTATGACTGAGTCACGAAATTGTATATAAAAGAAGCAATCAAAATCAGGGAAACTCAGAACATGAATAGAGACGAGGGGGGTACTAGCTGAGTAATCAGTATGACCAGATACTGAAATAATAGGGGAGGGGGCTAGATCTACACCCTACCTGTAACCTATCTGATGCAGTGTGTTTACACTCCCTATCTATCGATGGCGAAACGTCCCAGTTAGTCTTGAAGTACGTTTAATACGTACATTGTTTGTGTAGAAAGTAAAACTTTGATACAACATGTTTAAGATTAGATACTTAACTTTACATATTGTATCACAGTTCGTACACGATCCATGTTGGCAGTTCCAGTCTGAGCGGCAGTGGGGGTTCCAGGCACGGCGTACCGCTGTGACACCTGTAAGTCAGCTTCATTTGGTTTAGTCTGACCTTCAGCTTTTTCTTTTGCGTTGTGGCTCGTTTCATAATATGCAAACTTTATTGACTATCTATTTGATTTTGACAGATTTTCCTATTAATTTTTAAAATTATATATAATTCAAGTGTGTTAAGCAACTCACCTTCTGTTCAACAGTATAATTCACACATTATTTAAACGATAAAAACGCTCGTTCGGTTGATTATATGGGTTTTGTTCTCGTCTCAGCATGAAAACTTCATAAATAGTGGCAGCACTTCCATAGGCGCCTTTCCAAATGACGTGGCTCTCATGAAGCTTAGTTCTTCAAATTTGTTTAATCAAAACAAACAACCGATTAGTTTGACATCCGTCACTAACGCCCAACTAGCAGGCTACAATGAAGAGGACTGTGCGATTACTGGATGGGGTGGAACAAACGGCAACGGTGGTAAGTAGGCATACTTATGCAGAAATCTTCAAGCCGCGAAGTCAAATATTCGCAATGCTGCACCGAAAGCGGTTCAGGGTGTTTGCCATCGTTCGTAACCTCTTTCTACGATGGTGAATTTTTCTTGTTTGGTTTTGGCTTCTGCTTTTTCTGTTTTTATTTTATTGATTTGATTGTATTTTCTTTTCATATCAGTTATTATTTTGGGGCTATAACGATTTTCAGGTTGTATTCAGATTGAGAAAATACTGCAAATGAAACCTTGCCAAATATAATTGCTAAACAGAATTTACGTAACAAAGTCTGCTGATAGATTTGTACTACCCTATAACTCAATAGTGTCTGATTTAAAATACCTATGTGAAATAGATATTCGTTCTTTCTTCTCTCTTTTTTATATTTTTTTTTAACTTTAATATTTTATACTACTGCTCATTGTTCATTTGATCAGTTAAGGAAAAACGAGTCATAAAAATATGAAGTCCATAACATGTGTTGAAGTTGTAAATTAAACATTTTCCGTATTTCAATCACTTTTGATTTCTGTCATGTTTAACACTGCGGCGTAGCCAAGAAAGGAAAAGGGCCTTGAAACACCCTTATAACGTTCAGAATTTACAACTTAAAGCTAAACCATAAAATTTATATTTAACTAGTATTTCATGAAAATTGTGTTGAAATGAATTCCAGCTACAAATCTTCAACCGACCTTTGGAATAAAAAGACCTGCAGCGGAGGCAATCGCCTTGAATTTTCAACACACACATAACACCAATTTAAATAAATGTAAAATTAAAATGGTGTCAAACTTAAATACTACACTTCACTCGATAAGGTAGTTATAATTATATCAGAGAGAAATACCCCTTGTGGTAGAAAACAAAAATGTTACAGCATCACCATATTGTGAATATTGATACGTCTTACGTACAATAACCAAAATAACTGTTTTATTCTTATCTTCATTGACATATACTGATATAAACTTGTTAATTTTGCCTTCACATTTTAAAGTAAAAAAATGATATAATTCTATTTAAACTTTGACATTATTTTATTGATACATACTAAAAGAATATTAAAAAATAAATAAAAAAATGTAAAGATACAAGTTAGTAATGTTTTTCGGCTAACCTTTTAACATATGTTTTATTTTTATTTACAGGTTCGCTGCCAAATATACTACAGAAGACCTTTGTTAAGATAATGACTGACAATGCCTGTTCCGTTTCTCTCGGTTCTAGCTTGAACAGCGACATACACATTTGTGTAGACGGTGCTGGCACCTCTTGAGGTTGCAATGTAAGTCACCCTTGTTTTTACAGTACAGCTTAAGTCATAGTACAAACCAGGGCTCCAGGAAAATTTAATCCATTCATTATATATCTTGTTAAATCTAGTTTTTGCGTCACCAATTATAGACTATCATAATTATATTCCAACTGATCGCAATACTTGTATCTGCTGTTGAATAGAAATGAAGTTGAATATTATACATATATATAAACATATACATTATATGTAAAACCTCTTTATGAAACTTATATATTACATAAAGGGTCTGCTCACTAAAATAAATAAATCACTTAAAAACGATGGTCGAGATGTTGTTTGGAACTTGTTTTTTATTCAGAATAAATAATTCCACTTGAATTCCAAAGAAGTTAAGTGACCATTGAGTGAATTGTCTTTCTCGCCTCAGCTTGAAAGACAATTTTGACACGTTTGGGCATTCTCTCGAAGTTGGCACTTCAGCAATAACTGCCACTAAAATAGGAAGCAATTCCACCAAGAAATTTCTTCATAAGCTCACCTGCCCGAATGCGTCCATCGAACAAAATATTACTAGAGTCGTGAAATTTGGCTGATGTCTTCCTAGAAAATATCCCGCCAAAGCTGTGAATTAAAATAACTTTGAATGAGTTCCTTTTGTTATAGAAGGGTTGAACAAACAAAATCTTCAAATGACCACTTCTGAAGAACAAAAAGCCGGATAGAGCCTGTTCTAATGTTATACCTCATTATTCAAAAGGGCGTCATGATTACATGTAGGCCTAATTTATTTGATGAATAATTAAATGCTTAGAATTGAAAAAGTAAGAGTTGGAGATTTTTTAATTGTTAACCAGATAATCAAACATAGGGGTAGTTCAAGTAATTTAAACCATTCCTTTGTTGAGCCCCGAAAGTTCATTTCGATCAATTATTTGCATATTATTTTTCATTTTGACTAAAACAAGATATTGATTTAACATAAGGAGATAAAATGCGAAAATGGATGGGCTAAAATATTCTTGTATGCAACTTTCCTTCTGCAAAACAGTTAAACAGATAATGTGTAGAATATGACATTATATATTATAAATATCAACGTTATTTTGACTGGGCAGTAACTTCCTCTTATTTAAATTTTGACTGCTGCAATATTGAACGTGCATGTGCTACTTAGCAGTAGACCACAGGGAGGTAACTGTGCATGACTTTTCAGAGCAATTTTGGTCCAAATGAGTTTAGGCATTATTTTTAAACAGAATAAGATTTAAACTACCATAGTTGCTTATGAAAATCACTATTTGTATGAATGAAGATTTGTTTTTTATTGACTTCTGTTTATTTTATAGACTCTCTAAAAATGTAACGGTAACATGATTGGGTATGCTTTCACATTTTGCTAGTATTGTTGTTGTTTATTTTGCAGGGCGACAGTGGCGGTCCTTTGGTGTGTAAGTCGGTAATGACTTTGAACTTGCTGGTGTGACGTCATTTGTCTTTGGAAAATGTTTGACAAGCTATCCTACAGTATACGCCGAGACGTACGCCTTCAGGACCTGGATCCAAAACGTCATGAATAACATGTAATCAGTGTTGTAATCGTGTTATTTCAACAATAAAATACGTAATGTCTCTGTAATTGTATGTGTACTGCTTCACACGAAGGAATCCTATTATATACATGTATAAAAAAGAAATGACACAAAGAGTTTCTTAGTAATTCCCTAGTACTTCATCAGGGATGTGAATATGCACGTTGACAACAAAACACAAAAAAAATAATAATGATAACGTCATGATATAATATGACGTCACAATATAACCTACCAGAAATGAAACCGAGATTAGGAATGCACTTAGACGTCAACATTTTTTAAACAACAAAGATGGTGTTGCAATAAATATGTATTTAGTTACAGGCATGAGTATAGCACAGGCTGTTCACAAACATTCGATTTATTTATTCATGCAACGATCTGTGCTGTGCTGTGCTGTGATTAGCAATTCAAACCAGGTTTTAATAAATCAATTAACATTGATTATTTTTACTCTCTTTGTACAGTATCTTCTGTAGCTCGGGATCACATGGGTAACCATTTGCACAAAAATGTATGTAATTTACAGTTAAAAAAACCTTTTTGTCTGCTGCATTGTGCAGTGTCACAAGTTGACGCAATACACAACCAGTTTGTCCGATGTAAAATTCTAAACAATTAGCACAGAGCATTGTATATATATATATGTATATTAATTCAATCTTCCATTACACCTTTGAGACAGGTAGTTTATACCTTAACCTTCAGATCAACACACACTAGAGTAGATGATTATGTTTATTAATTGGTTGCAAGTGACGAAGAAAGTGAATTTTGTGACTCGTGCCCTGTCCTGTTCACGACTTACGGCACCCAATCACCTAGCTGAGAAATAGCCCCAACTCCTACCAATAAACCACTTCGATATGCCTAAAGGCTAAAAAGAAGGTTTTGATGCTGCAGTGGTCACCCGTCCGATACTCTTGACATGCTCATAAGTAATTGATGGTAGGAGTACCTGGATCGCAATGAAAGGATGGATACACGGTAACGCACCTTTAGGTCCCGAAAACGCTGATACAAATTCTCCAAAGTTGTTTTTATGTATACTGGATGGAAGTTGAGACATAGAAAATAGCGTTACATGCTTTATAATTGTCTGTGTATGATTTCATACAAATAAAGAGATCACAAACAACAATATTGCCCAAAAATGTATATCTTTATTGTCATCATAAAGCACCCATTTAACATGTTAAGAAAAACAAAATTTATAATAGTTGGGAAATGCACATGACAAGGCGTATATTTTAATCTCAATTTCTACTTTATTTTCGTTCAACAAGTTTTATTGAATGAGAAGGTGGTTTTCTTCAGTTACTAGGCTGAAATCAACTGATAATATGCATCCTGATGATTAAGAGTGTATAACATACAAATAGTCACCATAAAGTTAGTTTAGGGGGAAAATGAACGATTGTTTTTAAATATATTAACAGATTCAACCCCCTTACGTTGTTTGTCTTCGACTTCGGGTTCTCCGGTGTCCGCCAATATTTAGACCGCTGGCTTCCATCCGGATCAATAAAAGTTATTAATATAAATTCGGAAAACTTGTTAAATAATAGTTTTCTGTTGAACTATTTTTTTTAAATGTTTTGAATATATTTTTGTAATATTTTAACAGTGATCATATATGACATTATGTTAAGTGTTTAAGGTTACATTATTACATTGCTTTTGGATATTTTATGCATTGAAAATATCGGATCTTTTTAAAAACATCCAAATACAATGTACAATCAATCGAAAGAAATGCACATCTGAGAGCGTAGAATGAAGCATCTTCAGTAGGAAACATTGGATACAAAAATAATTTGTCAACAGCACAAATCTTTCCCGAACAACCAGATTATTGTGTAATAACTGAACTGTGAGATGTAAAGTCTCATAAACTCCGGATTCAATTAACACAGAGATACGGTAAAACCTTTTTATTAAATGACAAAAAATTACAGGACTGGTTTTTGCAACCGTTTTCTTACTTCATTTTGGGTTATGTTCATTCTCAACTTCTTATTCCGGTGATAAATGAATAAAAACACATTTTTACTATGAGTTACAATGGTGCACCAGTACATCAACAAATATAAGCCGTTCGACAGATAGTGTGATGTTTAATATTAATTTATGGTTGTAACAAGTGTAATTAAATGTAGTTACCATATATAAATCGAATACAACCAAACTCTAAATAATTCTGATACTTACCTGGAATCAGTTTCATCCAATAGTTGATGGAATAGCATTCTTAATTGTGTATTCGTTTGGTTTTGCAATGTAAATGTCAACAAACATTAATTAATGTGTAAGGCTTAACGCGCATAATATTTATAACATCCCAAAACTGAAAAACAGTATTCACAGCTATATAAATTATTTACAGCTAGGTTATCAATGAATTGTAACCAGGTCGTTCTTAATCAAGTTAAGAATATTGCTTTGTAATGATTCTGTAGTACGAAACATATTAAATAAGAGCATCTGTGCATGGGGAGCAACATCGTTTACAGATTATCTATTTTCTTCAATCTTACACTCAGCTTTACTGTACTAAACTCTTTCAAAAATGACTTGACTCACGTGAATTTTATTTCATTTCCTTTTTTCATTGGTAGATTGTGCAGGTGGATTCCTTAGTCCCCGAAGACTGCCGTTGATACAGTGTAATTTATATTTGGCAGTATGTATGTGTTACCAATTTGTTAAGGTGCAGTCAGCTGTCTGTCTGTTTGTTACCCTTACCATTCCACACAACGTCTGTAGCAGGGATCAACTACCACCCAGATATTGTGCATTGATCTCCAAATGTTTGGTAAAGCTCCATATCTCTATTGTTTAGCTTTGGCGTCTGTTGATTTGTTAATCGAGCTGTAATTATGTTCTTGTTTGTTGATGCTGTCATTTTTCTTTTTTCTTTTTATGGAAATACATTGCCATCATGTACCGAAATTATAAAGAGTCAACTTCCAGGTGGTACTACTGGACATATTTCACCCAAGAAGTATTTTTTTTATTTTTATATCAAAATATTTTATTAAATGAAGTGATTTAATGGGAATTGGACAACATGCTATGCCTATACAAGCCCTCTGCCTTGGGTTACAGACATTTCAAACAATAACAGAATTATAATTTAGACATTAACATATTAGCACTTGCTTGGAACATTAAATAGTACTTTTTTGATAAATATTTATAATTCGAATAGATGGTTACTAAAAATACACACTAATATTTATAATATGTACGCACACACATATATATACACATGTACACACATATGTATAATCCAGGTCAACATGCATATACTTACGATGAAAGTAAAATATCAACATTTAACAAATATACAAGAAACAGCTTTTTAATTACTTTATAGCAGAGACAAATAGCCAATATTTTCAGTATAAGTAAAATTCTAATATTATATTAACCAGTCCCCCAACACCACTCCCACTCCGGATATCAATTATAACTGGGCAGCACTAAAATGTCCATACACACCACCACTGTGTGCTTACCCAGTCATGGAAGATCCAGAGCAGGAGCCATGCTGAGGGAATAGGTACTCATACCTACATGCATACAGACATATAAACACTGGATCAAATTATCATGACATCTAGCACTAGTGCAAGATCCTATATGTTTTTTGTTTTTGCTTTTTTTATTTTTTTATTCTGAGAGCCTATTAGTGTGCTAAAGCCTAATGGTCTCTATCTATCTCTGAACTAAGCACAAATTAAAAATTACTGAGGTAAAACAAATACAGTAGTTTTTTATTTGTTATTTGTTCTTTACATAGTAACCAGTATATATCAAATATATTTCAAAATGGAAAGCCATGTGTGTATACTGCATTTGTAAATAATCAAATTTTATAAATTTTACAACATATATTAATATAAAAAACTGGAACCTCCATTCAATACAGTAAATATTAAATATTATTAGTTGAATAATTTGTAACACAAACTAGTCCTCCATCACCACTCCCACTCCAGATAACAATTATAACTGGGCAGCACTACCATGTCCATACACACCACCACTGTGTGCTTACCCAGTCTGAATTGATAATCCAGAGCAGGAGCCGTGTTGAAAGAGTATTCATATAGACATGTATACATACACATTGGGAGAAGAATTAACAGTTAACAAAGTCTGTTAGTAGACTCACTATATTTCTGGACACGGACACAAATATCAGAATTAAGATCATGACTAAGGTGGTAACTTCCCCTAGTTAGTATATTGATATTATTTACTAAATGTTCAATCAGGTTTAAGTCGACATTTTAAATGCAGGTTAAGTTGAATGTCAAGTTGCAAATGATTATCTAATAGGTTTTGTCATTGAATTATATACCTAGGGCAGTATAGAAAGAAGTGATCCACATCTTCGTCATGGTTGCCACATATACAGGATGTGCTATTAGTACGGTGGTCTCTAAAAAGATCAGAATTTAATTGACTTGCATGGTTTCAAAGTTGACATAAAATTACGTTAAAAGATCTAGTCCCTCCATATTTAAAAGCATTTATACACGTATCCTCATCTTTTAATCGTAGTACGACTAAAGAGTTAGACATCTGAACACAATACCAATTATATCTATGATTGAACAGGTCATTCAATTACTTAATAAACAGTTCAAATATTTAAACATCAGTGTAAAAACACATTTTCTGGTGCGATAGAAATGTGTACTACAGCTTTGACAAAAGGACATGACCAGGACTCAAACACGAGAAGTAAAGAAAACAGCAAGAACCGAAGAGATGCCATGTCAAACTGACAAAACACAAAAACAAACCCAACAAACTTGGGAACTACAAAACCAAACCAAACACACTGGGGAACTACAAAAACGAACCCAACACACTGGGGAACCACTGGGGAACTACAAAAACGAACCCAACAAACTGGGGAACTACAAAAACGAACCCAACAAAATGGAGAACTACAAAAACGAACCCAACAAACTG